TGGGAGTCATAGTTTCAGTGACTGGAGTAGGGGGTGGAGTCCACAACACCTAATCTCTTGCAGAGTTTGTTCAGGCCATCCCTTTCTCCTAACATATAGTATAGGGGTGTGTGTTCACAGCTCCTCAGATGTATGTCACCACACCATGCCACCTACCACGAAGGCCCCATCATCCTTTCTTCTAGTCCTTTGCCCCCCTTTCCCCGACACCCCCACCAGCCTCAGTTCTGCAGTCCAACAACTTCTAGGGTCTGATTTGTCTGTGCCTTTGCTTTGTGTCTTCATATTCCACATGCAAGCCAAGTCAGCTGGCATCAGTCTTCTCCTTGTTGCCTTCTCCTTCTGACTGACTTCAAACATTACCCCTTCCAATTCCAGTGATGATTCCAGCGACGTTGTGTATTTCAGCTCCTTAATAACTTTTCTTGGGAATATATCACTGAGATAGTGTTTAAACATTGAGATACACGGTTTTTAAATTTTTGTAGCTTTCTGTACTTTTTAACATCTGGTGAGATGTAATTAGCTCTCTGCCAGCAACAGCACCTCCCTGAATACTCTTTGGCATCTTCTGAAACACGAAAAATCTGAAGTTAAACCTCGATTTACCACCCCTTGCATGTTGGCCTGCTACAGAGACAGTACATTCCTGGTTGTTTCTATGCCAGCCCTGATCTTTGCTTTGTTTCACTCACTCACTCATGTGCTCTCATGGCAAACTTCAGTTTTCCTTGCCTTTATGTTTTTGTAGTTGGTCCTAGTTTTTTTCTGTTGTTTTCGGGCCATTTTCCATTCAAAAAGGATGCCTTTCAGTGTGATTGGCCTGTCTTGATTATGACTATTATGTCACAGTTGCTTTGGTTACTTACAATAGACTTGTGGATTAAGAACTCTTCAATAACTTCCTTGGCTAACTCTTGGAGGTAGTGCAACTCTTTTATAAATCTATGTTTCAAAATGTTGTTTAATCCTTTAATTCAGCCTGATACCTCAGCTTTTTGTTAATATTGCAAACTCCTTGTCCTTTTAAGGCATCTCACTGGCTTTCAGAATTCCCAGGTCTGTATATTTTTAGCTCATTGATAAATTGTTTCAGGTTCTGTGGCTCCTTAAATAGCTACTTTCTGCCTGTAGAGATTAACTAGTTTTGCCAGATCTGTTCTTGTGTAATGCTGGGTTTCCTTTAGCTGTGGGTTGGTTTCCCTCCAAGAGTTCTTGTCTCCTGCTCTTGAACGTCATCTTGCCTGTATCTTTAGACACAGCCTGTTCCCTGAGTTTTCCAGTCTCTTAAAGCCAGATGCACCAGCAGAGAGACAGATGGATGAGAGATAGACACACAGAAAGAGCTGAGGCTGCCCTCAAGTTACCTGCCAGTTGCTCAGTCTGTTCTCCTGTCACCAGGGAATAGTCGTCAGTCCGATGCTGGTCAGGGCAGGGTGCTGGGGTCAGGCACCTTGATGTCTGAATGCCCCCCTCCCTTGTGTGAGCCAATTTTTTCCCTGCCATGGCAAAGACAATCATTTGGCAGAATGAGAACCTGAGCATGGCCACTCGCCAGCTACAGCTTTCACTCCAAGTCCTGGGCTCTCTTCTGCACAGGGTCTGAACCCCATTTCATCCAGGCTTCTGTCCTGGCTCCAGCTCAGGGCCTGTTATTCTCAGGCAGCTCAACAGATAGGAAAGAGCAGAACAGAATATCCTAATTATTGCTCCCTTATACTCTTCCTCTCCTTTAAAAAAAATGTGTCCATTCTTGTTTCACACCTAAAAAGCATGGACTTCCAGGGACATTTCAGTGACACTTGGTATAAATGGCTGTGCGCGTCCTTCTAAGATAGCCCGTTTATATGGGCTATTTTGAGCCTACCTCCCAGGGAATGTATCTTGCTGTGCCTGCATAATGGGCTGGCCTCCTGAACTGACACCGGCTCAATTGAATTACCTCGGTCTGTTTCCTGCTTCTACTGGGTTTTTCTTTCTGGTCAGCGGAGCAGTTCAGCTATCACACTAATTACAGGTTTGTCATCCAAATGTCAACCTGTCTCATCCAGGCCCCACTTCTTGAGACACTGCACACAACTTTCAGAGCACCCTGACTTCTGTCTTGCAAGTTTTATTTCTTCCTTTGAAGTATTTCTGTACCTATTTTCCAACCTCCTGACCCCTTAGTTGGTTCCCCTGTATTCCTCCTATTTGTGATGCCAGCTGATATATTTCTTTTTCCTTCTGATTTATTTCACTGAGTATCATCCCTTCCAGTTCTATCCAGGTTGCTCCGAATGGCCTAAATATAATTTTTGATGGCTGAGTAGTATTCCATTGTGTACAGAGAGCACATCTTGATCTAGTCATCTGTTTGGGGACATTTTTTGTTGGTTTCCATATCTTGACTATTGTAAACAGTGCTGCAATAAACATAGGAGTACCGACTTCCTTTCGAATGAAAGTTTTTGTGCCCTAAATGACCCTATGGTCAGGTGAGAATTTTCAGCTTTCTCTTTCTCCACTCATTGCGTCAGTTATTAATCACAAGTATTCTTTTTAAGTCCTCATTGTTTTTGAGAGTAGCTTTCGTAAAGTTTTCCTTTGTTTGTGTTTCCTGCAACTTTGGTTCTGAGATTTCATCTCTTTCAGATGATCTGTTTCCATATTTTTAGCTAGGATGTAACACCTGTCGTTTCCTACTTAATAAACCTGAACTACCACCACCAGGCTCAGAAGGAAACTTAAGACAGTCCTGGGTGGGGGGTTGATGTGGGATGTGGGGTGAATCCCCTGCAGGACAGCAGCCTCAGCCAGCTCACTATCCATCCATCACTGTACTTCACAGTCCTGTCTACTTAGAAATGCACCATGGAAGCCTGATAAGCCATTGATTCCTTTTCTCTAGTAAACAGAAACTCAAAATGTTGATGTGAAATTCCAAATACTGCAGTTTTGTGTCTTGCAGGACATGGAACAAATTTATCTTCGATTTGCCAATCTCCTTTCTCCTTTTTACTTTTCCAAGAACCAAAAACCTCCATTTCTCAAACGTCATATGCATATGTCAATACACACACCTATACTTATGTATCTACACCACATAATCCTTTTTGAGCTGTATTTTGCATTCTGCTGTATTCTGCTCCGCCCACTTCAAAGCATGCGCTTCTATGACTTCAGTGTGCCCCCTCCCCCATGCAGCCCTGACAGTGGTCAGTTATAGGGCATTTCATCTCCCCCAAAGCAGCTTCGTGTCCATTAAGGTAACTCCCACTTCACCCCAGCCCAGTCCTGGGCAGCCACAACTGTTGTCTGTCTGCTACCTCCTTCCTGCCCTTGCTACAATGGGAACCTTTTCTAAGCTTTCCGGGCCTGCCTGCCACATGACTGTGTCTCATTCACGCTTCTCTTTTCCCATCACAGGGCCCTTCTACAGGTGTCTGCACTGTGTGTTTTCCTTTCATCCACAACTGAACATTTGGGCTGTGCCCACTCTGGGCCAACAAGAACATCCCACAGACGTTGGCATCCCCGCCTCTGCTTGGCGGTGTTTTCCTGTTCCCGTGTGTGGATTTGCTAGGATCGTGTTAGTGCTGAACTTAGCCCTCTGTGCAACTTCCAGACTGTTGACCAAAGCCCAGCATTATTTTCCTTTCTCATAAGCAGTAAGCGAGAGTTCTGGTCGTCCCACATCTTCTCCAGTGCTTGTCTTTGAACAATTATTTATTTTTTGCTTTAATTATAGAAATTCCAGTCCTGGGAAATGGCATCTCATGCTTTTGATGTATGTTTCTCTGGATGATGCTGAGTGTCTTTTCATGTGTGGGTGTTTCTGTATCTCCTCTGGAGAAATGTCTCCTGATAGCCCTCCTCCAGATTTTAATCAGGTTATTTGACTTTTTGTTGCTGAGTCCTTCACATAGTCTAGATTCAAGTCCTTGGTCAGATACATATTGTATAAACATTGTCCACCTTCCTGTAGCTTTTGTCATTTTCTTGATGGTGTCCTTTGAAGCAAAGAACAATATTTAATTCTGACGAAATCCAACTAGTAGTCTATTTTAGTTGCTGAATTGTGCTC